TGGGCCCGGGACGGGGAGGCAGCGGGGGTCGGCGGCCTGCAGCCCTGGAGCAGCCTCAGGGCAGGCCCCCGGGGCAGGGGGGAGCAGATCGTGGTTAGGAAAGGGCCGACCGCCTTTCCCCCTTCCGGCAGTTTCCCCCTGCGCGACCTGGGAAGGCGGAGCCAAGGAGCAGGACTGCAGGGAAACCCCCTGCATCCTCCACGTTGACTTAAAATTACTAAGGTAAGAGAAAGATACAGCCAGGTAAAAGATCAGTGTGTCACTGCCCTGGGGTTTCACAGGCCCAAACAGCTACCACCAACACCGCTACCGTGTTATTTTGCATTACTGCGCTGTGCGGGGGTTTAACTTCATGTATTGTAGGTCCAGGACATCAGGTTTATTGGAAAAATTGCGTGGATACTAGTGGATTTACACAAAACAGAACTAAAACACTGGGACTGAAAAGAGATTTGCAAGTACTGAAACCTGGAGCATCACCGGGCACCACACAACGTCAGGCTCGTTTTTTCATCCTTTCACTTACATTGCAGCATTAATACCCGTTATGAAGCTAACTTAGGACACAACAGCCACTTCGCCAAGGTGGTTCCCTCGTGCTTCTGTTTATCTTAAGTCCTTTCCCCTGCTCAAAAGGGCAGAAGATGAAAAATACAAACCCATTCAATATTGTATTGATTTATCCAGCCCTTCAGCAGCACACCTGCTACTTACTATGGCCTACTCACCACAGCACACGCACAACGGCAGTGCCAGCTGTAACTGCTTGCTGCGAACAAAGGTATAGAAGTTGGATATTGCCTTAGAAACTAACTACTTCAAAATAGAGAAACGGGAATCTTTGGGGAAGAAGTGAAAGAAAAGCAACACACCTGCTGCTCGTCACTGTTAAGATTTATTATTATAGCTAGAGATGTGCTACATTGTTTTCAAGCAGTACAACAGACAGATTCAAGCAAATAAGCAATGCTTTAAATGACGGAAGACTTGTAATTAAACTCCAGTAAGTACACTACTGGGGTTCAAGTTCTTACCATCTCCCAAGCAGAATGAAAGTTCTTCATGCCAATTAATGCAGCATTAAAATGGCACATACTTACATTCATTTCAAGTTAAGTGTATTTACACACAAAAACGGGGATTTTTTATTTTTTACTTGTTACATTCATCTCTTCCTCTGCAAAATTCATTAAAAACAAACCATGTATCAAAATTCTATTTTCTGTATTGTCCCTCTTATTTCAAACTCGTTACAGAATTTAATTTTTCATGTGAGAAAAGAAAATGCGGGACACTTTCTGGTCCAAAACTAGTTAAGGAAAGAGGAAAAATGCAGTGGAATACAACTGTATTTTGTGTACTTGTCATATTCAAGAAGATGACTAGTGGTCACAAAAATTCAGGAAACAAGTTGCAAGAAGGGGGGGGGAAAAGCCTTAGTTTTTACCCTTCTTTTTAAAAGAAGACAAGGGAGTCAGTAAATGTTTCAGCATTTAATTTCTTTTTCAACATCAGAAAATGAGAAATATGATTTTTTTTTTTTAATAATCACAGGTGCTTTCCTAATGTCTTCAGTGTATGGTAACTAAGAGTTTTGTCCACATATTTGAGTGTTTATGTATGCACTTTCTCAAAATATTCTTTAGAAGCTTCTGGGCTTGGTTTGATCTGTCAAGAAAAGAAAATTTAGTTATTATATGCTATAAGATAAAAAAATTACGTCTTTGACATTTTATCCAAGAAAATCCATGCATACTTTATAAAAACATCAGGTTATTTCTGTTTCTGTACTCGGTTAAAAGATGAAAGCCTAAATGATGTACAAGCTCCTACTTGCAAATTTCAAGTATAAAACACATTTTTCCTGCTAAATATCAAGCAGGGCATTAAATAAGTAAAAAAATCTGAAGACAACTGGTGCAGAGTGCAAGTCAAATTTAGAGTTTTAAATACAACTTGTTTTCTAAAAGAAAATTGGTGACTTTCTTCACAGAAATCACACATATTTAATATCATACAAATAGACTGAATTGGTCCAACCAATAAAAGCCTCAGATTTAGACAACAGGCACAGACTCAGTCAAGCACTTCACGTTAAAGTGGTTCTCAGCCCTTCAGACATGCAAAAATATGCCAGTGTCTATATTTAGAAAAGTGATATTTAGCGGATGCTTACTGTTGGGGAGTCTGGAGTCCAGTTTGCCGGGCAAACCTCTCCATGTGTTTCCACGTACTGGAATGCTTTCACCAAGCGGAGGGTCTCTTCCACGCTGCGACCGACAGGGAGATCATTGATACTTAGATGCTTGATGAGCCCATTTGGATCAATGATGAAGAGACCTCTGTAATTGAGCAAGAATTTAGGGAATGCAAATCACGTTCCAAGACGAAACACAAGAAACTGGATGAACTATTTCAACAAGGCAGTTATATTCTTAGATGCACATATCGGAGTTAGGAGTAGCAATACAGCATTTAATATATTGTTTGTTAATGCAGTGATCAAAACCCAAGAACTAGTCAACTGGCATGGTATTGTAAAATTACAAAATATGCATAAAGACTATTAAATCAAGACAGATGTATAACAAAGGTAGAACTTCTAATTCCACCTATATTTCGAAGTTGATAGCTGGCATCCTTCCCATGTCTTTTTGATATGAAAATCCAAAGGTATTGAGTGAAGAGTTGCTTATGCATTAAGCTACTAAATTAAATCCTGTTGCATATAAACGTTTGTGAAAACCAGAGTCCCAGTCTTACCATATTAATTAACTTAATTTGTCAACAAACAAATGTCAGAAGTTCCTGATCCAAAGAGACCAGGAACCGAAGGTCTCCAGAAGATTCCTACCCAATCCAATGGATCTCAGGGGCCACTATTTACTTTTAGTAAGTATTCACATGCTGGAGAAGGAAACGTCAATTTCTCTTTATTCTAGATAACTATAGGATTGACTGCAGTGGCCTCTAGGACTACTGTTTTAGAAACTTCTCACACAGAAGTTAAGGCAGTCTTTTCTCCCTTCGTAAGAAAGAAAACAAAAGAAAGGGACAGACCTAAGTTGTGAAAAAAATGTAAAAAAATTGTAAAATGCTCTTCTATCCTTTCCTTAGTGACGTGGAGTTCTCCCACTCACTCAGAACAGAATAGCTGGCTTTCCCCTGCATGCATTCTCAGAGAGACCTGGAACCATTCTCAACTTAATGGCCATAATGGCCACGTGCCCTTTTCCTAGGGTGGGATCCAGCAGAAGTTCTGCAGAACAAGTGACATCTTACAGTCTTCATTTGATCCTTGTGCAGTTTCCCCTGCAGGAGGAGACAGTATGGCTCACATTGTTTTAGATTGGCTTGGTCATAACCGAGTTATCAGCAATCATGAGTTACCTTAGTGCTATGCCAGGTCCTTCTAGCAGCACACCGTAATCACGGGAGATTTGTTTTGTGAGGTCCGACAGAATTGGAATATTCATTTTGCCCAAACCGCCGCTCTAGAGAAAAAGAGTAAGATTCCATTTTGTTACAAAACACTTTTTAGGATTATCCTTCTTGAGTTGCTGGATTCGGCGCTCTTGAGAGTATACTAACAAGAGAACACATTCATGCCATTTGCTCCATGAAAGGAACCACGAGGGGGTGGGGGGTTATTCTTGGGCTGGTTTTGTTTGTTTGTTTTTAAAAGTGGTCAGGAACATTTGGTTTCTTTGGAACATGAAAACTTCTTCTGCACTGGGCATTTTAGCATTGCTTATTTTGCTGGTAAAAGGCTACCTATGACAACAGTCAAATTTTCAGGAAGATTTCCCTTGTACACTCTTCAGGAGCTTTGAATACAAAAATTTCTACTGCATATTTAAGTGTTCAAATTTAAACAGGATGAACATGGTGGGGAAGGAAGGGAAAACAAACCTGCATGCTATGAACAGACAAAACACAAGGCTTCTAACAGCCACGCTAGGTATGTCAGAGTTCTGCTGCTCTATTTAGTGCATGTATTCCCCCCCCCCAAATCAATTTAAATACTATTTGGAGAGTCAACCAAGATTTCTTTCAGTTTTGCAACATACTGGAACTGCAACAGAGATAAGCTCTCTATCCTTGAAACAAGCCCAGAGCTTGTTAGCTTTTCTGTTCCTGGCATCATTAGTGAATCATTGTGTAATCTCAGTCACTCAGACCTTGATCCTGCAAATGCTTGCCTGCAATGGAGTTCTCATACGCAGAGCTTTGAGCACAGATGTCGGAGAAACCAAGGCCTTAGCTTCTCCGGGTGTCAGTTTCCTGTCTGCGCCACCACGGAATTCTTTCCACCCTTTGCAGGGTGTTTTGCTACACGTGCACCGAGCAGTGTCTGACTGGCATACGCTGAGCAGCTTTCGCACACAGCAGTGAAGTCAGTCCACAATCACATTTTAGAGCTTTGAACAAAGCATGCAGAAAATTAAATACTCTCAATAGGTTCGGCCAAGCCATATTAAATCTAGCAAACTCTCCTCCCTCCCCTGTATGTTACAACAGCAAAGCTATGCACCTGGAGGCACCCCAGTCTGTGAGCACTACTGCAGACTGCTGTCCACACGGGTAACGGCTGATGACACAGGAGCTTCTGCACCTTCCTGCGACACTTCTGATTCTCTACAACTAACCAAACCAGTGAGGTGCTTTATGTGATTGAAAGTGGGCAGTTTTATATACACGTGAAAGAGGCTCCTCTCCAGTAAAAGGCCATCTTTATAACTTTCTTTCCCTGCAAAAAGCTGAGGACTTCTGTTTGTACTGCAGAAGTGGAACTATTTCGGCAAGTGACAGTTAATAATACAAGTGCTCCAATAAACGCATTGTTCTTCTGCTTCCATTCTGAAGCCACCACTGTTCCGTATTGGTTAACAATAATGACTAAACAGCTGCTGTTCATTTTCTGTGAGGGTGCACACAAACCATCAGCTGTAACAAACAGCTTAGGACAGTGACACGTACACTGAGTATTTGTCTTTCAAGATAAACACATAAGGATATGATGTAACCTACAAGACTATCAAGAGAGTGAAACAAAGTTTAAAAAAAAAACCAAATTATTAAGGAAGAGAGCAAGAAAACAAAGACTGAGGTCAGAATTATGTCATCAAATGTAGAAGTTAATTACTTCACATATCAATTCAGGCAGTCTATTGAAATCGGTGTTTGCACAATTGTTCACTCAACTCCTCAGGAGCTCTTGTGAAAAGAGAACAAACCAACAGAGAAAGCCCCAAACAGCTGCTCAATTCATACCTTTCGTGGCGTATTTATCCAGGCCAGATGACAAAAATGAGAATCCACAGAAACTGCTACCACTTCACAGTTCACATCATGAAATTCATTTGCTTTGTTGCTGAAAGCCACAATTTCTGTGGGGCAGACAAAGGTGCTGGGTGGGAAGAGAGAACAGGCTGTAATGATTCTGCAATCTTTTCAGAGAATTTTTTAGAAAAGACTCTCATGTCTGTTTCTAGGCACTAATGCAGCAGAGCATTTTCTTTAGCCTGATAATTTTAACCATGTTTCCTGCTCAAGATTAGTTTCAGACACTCTCAAAGCAACAGCCATAGCCACCTAGCTGGCATACCAGTTTTCAACTCTCAGTTCTAGACAGATTTTTTGCAGAGATGGAGAAGCTGTCTCTGCTAGACACTCTCTAGACAGAGAGTTTTTGGAAACTGTAGCAGAAAGGACTGCAGGTTAAGTCCTCCCCATGTGCCCACATACACCAGGATGCTCTTGGCAATTCAAGTCTTCTGGACAGGCTCAATTCCATCTGTTCACCTTTTGCTCTGGAGCCGTCCAGCTGCAGTTCTGCTGGCCCTGCTGCTTAAAAGGAGAGAGTCTCCAACATGACCCCAAGCTGCAAGGCAATGTCTTCACCCCTGGGATCTGACTGTAAGAGGAACCACACTTGCAAGGCCGCATCTACTTCCTGAAGCAGTCCTGGCAGCTAGAAGATGCTCTCCAGCCACCAGGTCCATTACTTTAGCACACAGTGGCCATTTGTCCCCAAGTCTTATCACTCACGCTCTAGAAACAGACACATCTGCCTTGCAAGACTAGCCTGGATAAGGTAAAAACAGCCGCTTTAGACAGCAATGATCTGCAGCACTTCCGATGAGCTTCAGCAAGGCAGGAGACCCATCTGAAAGGAGAGAAACCCGTACTCACAAGTCCAGGGGGTAGAAGAAGAGGACGAGGTATTTCCCCTTGAAATCATCCAGGCTCAGCTCCTTGAACTCTCCGTTAACAACAGCCGTTCCTTTAAAAAACGGGGCGTGTTGCGTAACCGCTGGAGCAAACCGCGAGGAGCCTGTGGGGGAGAAAACAGAACTGCGGACTGTACCGCC